GAGAGAGAGAGAAAGATGCAAGCAATAAAAGTGAAGCAAAAAAAAACAACGACGACGACGTTTTCTAAAAAATACCATTATATACTCGCGCGCGTGCATCGAAGGAGGACGAAAATAATCTCGTGCAAACCGCCTATATATAGTGCGCCGGTATGTCGTACCGAAGAAGCAGCACAGGGTTAACCGATAAAGAGCCCTGCGATGGTACATAGAAAGAGAGAGAGAGAGAGAGAGGGGGGAAAAAAATCGCAGCTCCGACTAACGGTTTTTCGGGATGCGTTTTATGTATGTAGGTTATCGTTATACAGTGCACGCACGCCAAGCGCGGGTCGTTCCATTCATAACATAATCGAAGAAAAATTAATAGTTTTTTTTTTTTTTTTTTGGTGTGTTTGGTCAATTTTTTTCGCCGATCGATGTAATCTCTCTAATCTCCATCATTTCCTTTGGGTAATTGGTTCGCGACAAGGTTTATAAATGTACGTACGCGGGGTATTACACGGAAGCTCGCAGCGATATTTACAAGAAGGAAAAGGAAAACTATCTATGGAATGTTTTATTTTTGTAACGCAGAACGAACGAGGCAAAAAAAGAAAGAGAGAAAGGAGGGATCCGGGATGCATTTATAAATATTTTCTACCGCGCGGTGTAATCGTTCTCAATTGACACGAGCCGTCAATGCTTGGCGACCTGCTGCACAACGACGAGTTGGCTTTTACAATGAGATTATGTATTTTACAAATTGATGCGCAGAGATTCAATGAATCACACGGAGGCAGTATAATCTGTGCAGCACTAAGGAGAGATCAGCAGCAGCAGCAGTCAATTAATAAATATTTCGAAAGGCACAAAGCGAGAATTTTTATCTCGGCCCGTACACAAGTCGTGATAATGGAAGCGAGAGGATGAGTAAGCTGCATTTAGTCGGGCAGAGTAGCTGAGTAAGGGTAAAAAAATGCACAAGGTAAGAGCAGCTCGATTAGTTACTTTCTCGTTTCTTTATCCTTTTACCAACTCGTTGAACGATTTTTAGCCGACGCAGCGGCAGCGGCAGTCGATCATTCACTGACGGCACTCGGACACGACTCGCTTTTATATTACAGGTAATAGGTCACATCGTGCCAAACGCGTGATAAATCACTGACAAGGCGCTATAATGCGCCTTAATGATTTTCATCGGATACACACGCAGTACAGGGTCGAGAAAACAGAACTCCGACAGATGGTCGCGTGCACGAATTGAAAATGTGGCTAATGCGCGCGTCGTTGTCATTCTCTCGGATCGATCGATCGATATTACACCATTGTCCTCGCGGGAGTCAAGACCCATAATAATATCGGTGCTTATTACGTAGATATATACAAGTGTCGCGTTCGGAGTTAACGCGCGCGGATTTATGGCGTATGATACAACACGGCATGCCTAAAATATTTGTCCCGTGACAGGAGGACATTGGTGGCAGCAACATGTCCCACGCTCGAATGTCTCTCTCTCTGTATTAATATACGAGTGCGACGAGTCTATAGAGAGCCTCGACGACGTTCATGGAAAATTTGACTGTAACAGTGGTTCTCGTTAGACTAATGTGTATCTGCCTGCCTGACTGGACTGAAAAGTCGAAGAGCGATATACAGCGTTGCCAGAAAAATATCGCTTATACACACATAGACTACGATGTCACGTGTATATAGTAGCTATACGCGCTGCTATCTGTATGGTAAGTACAATGGATCATCGCGTAATGAGGAGCGGCGCGTGTATACACAATATTAATGACGAAGAATGCGGGAAAACGGGCAAGGGGACTCATCGCCCAAACACGCGGAGAATTTTTGAGAAAATTTTCTCCCCGCAATTTTTTTTTTTTTTTATACGGAGAATAATCATTCGTGTATATTGTAATCATTCTTCTTATACGAAAAAAAAAACACAAAATATACGTTGAACGGTGCAAGCAAGCGCGCGCGAGAGAGTTATTGGGTCAAGTCGCGCGAGCACAATAAGATACATACAGTTCGTATATATATGTGTGCCGATCTCTGCTTTTGTGTATATATCATGTACGAATGAAAAATGTTTTTAATAGCTCCGATCTCGAGACGATAAATCAGCAAGTCCAGAGAGAGAGAGTACGAATCGAGTTGAGACGTTCGAATGTTTGTACAGCGTTTCACGCTTTCGACCGGTCGAGATAACCAGCACACATCCATGTGTATGATGCATACATTATTATCGAACGAGAAGGAGGAAGAGGAGGTGGCATCTATGCGATCGGTATTTCGCGTCGTCGTATTATAATCTTACAGGAGAAGACGACGATCGTGCATATAAGTCTATCTAATAGATTACGTTTCATTATTATTTTTCGCTCCCCCTTGACACAGTAACAATATAAGCTCCGCTGCGCTCGTTTAAAAGGCGTGAATGACTGAAACTTGCAGCGCAGCGACCCACGGCAATACTATCACACGCACGCGATCAATGAATCCACACACTACTACTACGACGACGTCGTGTCTACAAAGGCCTGACTTTCTTTCGAAATTAATCGCGGCGCAGCATACATACACTGTACATATACACAGAAGAGGCAAATTGGCGCGCGGCTCGAATTAACTTTGTACATTATAAGCGAATGTCACCGAGTCACTTCCTCGAGAGAGAGACAGCGTGTATGAGTCTTTGCGCGCGAGAATTTCGCACGCAAAATAAAAGTCGACGGTCAAACTAAAGTTTGTTTGGCTCGTCGATGCAATTTATCTCTATTTTGCCAAGTTATTTGAAAATACATATCGTATTTAGTTTGGTTTGGCTTAGGTTTTTATCGCGGTCGCTCCGCCGGTATAATACGGGCGCCCAGGCCGAGCGGAGGACTTATATGTTTGCTCTATATAGACACAAGGGCGCGCATCATCGGGTTACAAAAATAGCTAGAGCCGCAACGAGAGAGACAAGAGTTCCTTTTGTTTTTATTTTTTTTTCCCTCTCTCTCGTTTATTTTTATTATCATTTTTTTTTCGCTTCGTTCGTGTCCGCGCCTCTGCACCGACGTGTAATGCACCGCAGATATATCTCGAAAAAACATTTATTGCCACGCGGAGACGTGACGACGACGATGATGATGATGCTGCTGAGCTCGTAAATTTTTGCCGTATTATTTATATATTTAACGCGCATTATATACAGAGAGAGAGAAACTGCAGATTTAATTTCACCGACGAACACGCGTTGATATGAAACAATCTTTTTCTTCTTCTTCGACTAGAACGTAAAAAACTTCGGCGACGAAAATTTACGAGTCCCGCGCACAAAAAATTAAGCCAATTTCCGACGAGCTGTTATAACGTACTAACTTTTCCGAGGCGATGACTCGGACGCGATCATTACGACCGCCGCGCGTTCACAAGGATGTAAGGATGAATAAGTGTGCTCCGTTTCTGTTCTTTTTTTTTTTCTCTACCATATTCGCGGCGCACACGCATCGTCGTCGTCGTATCGAGAAACGATCGTGCGTGTGCATTATAACGCGCGCGCGCGATTCGTGAATGAAAATGCGCGCTGAGCTACACTACTACTACTACACGCCGGTTAGTCGCGCCGCACCGCCACGAAGAATAAGCGGAAATGCTTTCCGGATTGATTTCGCTCTCACCCTCTTTGCTATACATAAGTATTAGTAGCGTAGTAACCGAGGTTCGAAACGACGTCGAGTGGAATTCCGCTTTTGTGCCCAGAAGTTGTAAATGCGGAGGGGGAGCAGCAGTTATACATGACGCACCGACAGATACAAGCGTAAAGGTTCTCTCTATCTACTTCGTCCTCGCTGCTGCTGCTTAGCAAACCGAGAAAACTCGCAGCGTATAAAGGTGTGCTGCGCGCGTATATATATGTTGTTGTAAACGTGAGACTTGCACGACTGGTATGTGTGTGTGCGTATACTCGACCAACTTTCTAGCTCGATATACACGTATGACTGTTCACGAATCGAGAGCTCTGTACATAACACACGTGTATGCGTATATATAAAAATCGGAGCCAAAAGAGAGAGATAGACGTATATATCGGCCGCATACGCGGCTATTGAATTATTAATCGTCGTTTAGCAGCGTTTCGCACGTCCGGAGTCGCGTAAGTCTCGGATTATATTATATTATATATCCTTATATATTATTATGTACATGTGTCGAATGACACATGACCGATTTGACACGCTCGCGCGCGTACTTCGAATGCAAAAGGTAACGTACAGTAACGCTGCTTTAATGCATCATTGAGTCCGCTGTACTAATCGAAACAACGTTTATAATTTTTAACGAGCTCTGGAGAACGTCTAGCTTTCTTCGACGCGAATTACACATGTATACGGAGCAACATAACGACGATGACCGATGGTGTTTTCGATCGACGGACGAGAGAGAGAGGAGAAAATTCTCACGATACGCCGCGATCGATAACAGCTATATAGGAAACAAAAAAAATATATATAATGAGCAGCAGCAAGTGTCTTTATAATAGACAGGTAATAGTAAAAAAAAAAAAGGCAGCAGCAGCTAGGCTAGCTCTCGCTGCGCCGATCGAGGGACGACGAAGACACGATGACTCTATGTAGGAAAGGCAGCTCGATCTTAGATCGGGGTCACTGGCTCGCAGCCTAGCGCGGCAACGGTTTTCTTTCTTTCTCAATTCTCACTTCTCGCACCTCTGCTACTACTACTACCGACTATATACAATATGTATAGATATATTCTAGAACCGGCCGCTTTCTCGTTTCTCTCTTATTATACATACAACGTGTGTGTATCCGCTGCTTGTGTCTGGTTGTGCCAGCGCGGAGCCACGCACAAGAGCATCGCACGAGCACCAGCCGCCGCGCTGCCTTTCCTTTTCTCTTTCTCTCTAAGCTCTTGCACGCGCGCCCCGGTAAAAAAAGCAGCAGCGGCGGCGACAATTATGGTACGCACGCAAGAAAAGGAGGAATTAAAAAGAAAGACGCGCTTACCTTGCAAGGCTCCTTGCTCTTGGAGCGGAACAGGCCGGGCATCTTGATGGCGCCAATGGGGATTTTCCTCTTGGGCTTGGGCTCGGCGGCCTCGGTGGAGAGCTCGGCAGGTGCCGCGCCGCCGTCCATGTGCTTCGAGTTCTCGGCGTTGAGCATCTTCTCGCGCTCCTCGTCGGCGATCTCCTTCTTGTCCTCGTTCTTGTTGGCCTCTTGCTGCTGTGGCTCTTGCTGCTGCTGGGCTGGCTGCTGCTCAGCCGGCTGAGGATCCGTCGTCTGACTCATCCTTGCTGGTCCTATCGCCAATAAATATTTATTTATTTATTTATTTATCGCAAAAAACGTTTTACACAATAATATATTGATATGGAAGTCGGGCAACGCACACCAGTGTCTCGAGTTTGCGCGCGTGACTGACTGTTTTACTGTGTATATGGTGTATACATTTTCGAATGGCCAAGGAATACCTAAAAATGGGGGGGAACTCCTCTGAATGAGTATACGTAGTGTGTATAAGGAGAAAAGAATCGTAAACGTTACGCTGCTTATCGCGATTCGCGAGTCAACGGTCCAAACACCATAATACGAGTGGACTCGTGTGTTTGTATACAGCACGATTGTTTTCTTTTGCGCGCGGACTTCAGCTCCAAACACACACATGGTAAAACAAGTGCACGGCAGCGCACGAGTACTTAATACAAGGAGGAGTATAGTATAGAAGTACACACAAGGTACAGTGTATATTATATATAGAGAGTGGTTGAAGTGAGCCGCAAGAGAGGGACAATAGCCGCATCCGAGATGTGCATAATACAACAAAAAAGAAAATCGAGAAAGGTGAAAGTTGGACGCAACACACAGAAGCTGTGCTCCGATGCGACTTTTGTGTGCTTTTCTTTCTCGCCATTGGACCGTATCCAATATGTAGGTGAGGCTTCGTTCTCGTTTGGGAGCTTGCATATATATACGATGGCGCAGTCTGTCTCGTCTATACGACACACACTCGAAATAATATCGGATGCTGCGCCGATGCGGATCTTATAATGCAACGTCGCGCGATCAGTCATCGAATTGCGGTTGTCTGCTGATGCTGCTGCGTCGATCGGTTTTGTATAGCGCCAAGAGGTGCTTTTCAAAAGAGGAGCTTTCGAGAGAGAGAGAGAGAGAGAGATTTGCAGATCGACGAGATCTCGATATTTTCTCTGTCTCGTCTTTGTGCGGTTGTGTCGAGATATCGACGTTCAAAAAAAAAATTGATGATCGAGTGTTGCGGCACGTACACGTTATACGATTTGCCTTTTCAAAGCCAGTCGATGGTCAGTCAGAAAAGAGTCAGCGAGGAGAGAGAGAGAGAGAGAGAGTATATTTACCAGAGAGGGAGAGAGAGAAAGAGGAGAAAGGAGGAACCGAGGACCAAATAGCAATGAGTCACCGTTTCAAGTGCGAGTTTAACGAGCTCTGCCGTTGCTGCGCGCGGCTTCTTTTCGTGTACAAGCGCGCCAATAGCCCGCTATATAACGCGCGCGAGGTCTATTTTAATGGACGCGCTAATAGTAGCGGCTATACAATGTGCTGTTGCTCTCGAGTTGATCCGTATATACACACGCACACGAGCTTTTCTCACTTTTATTGCCTCGATCTGTGTGTATGTATAAGCTGCAGCTGATACATAATAGCTCTGTGTACAGAAATTCATCGACGCAGACGGTCAGTCGGCCAAATGCATCGTAATGCGCGCGTGTATGGCACAACAACATGTGTGTGCGTATACTTTTATAAACGACGTTTCTCATAAGTCAACGGCCGATCGATCGATCGATTTCCTCTCTCTCTGTACTCGGGGAAATCACAGACTCGCGCATACCACGAGTCACCATACCGGCAAGTCCTGATATCATCGGAAAATACGTATATGGGCACGTTACATACATTACATGCCGCATATATAAGTCGCCGACGGTGGTAATACGATAACGTAAACACCGAGCGCGAGGAATGCCGCGAGGAATGGAAGATAGCTATGAGCTCGGCGAGTAGCAGTAGCAGCGATTCGCGCCGATGCAGCACGTAAGTTGCATTATTTGATACATTCGGTGTCGCCGTAGAGCTTACATATGTAACGTGGATATCTCGCTCATTATTACTTTTTTTTCAAGAGGGGCATTAATTAACGAATATGTACACACACGAGTAGGATAGTAGCGTATAAGTGGCGAGCTTCGGCGAGAGCGCGAAGAAATGCGCGCAGTTGCAATTATCCCGCTGTATATATACACGTATATATCGCGCGGATGTAAGCAGGCATACCTACGCGTATAGTACATATATACAATGTGTATGTGCTGCAGGCCACGATCTTATGATTTGACACGCGCGTACAATAATATAAAAGGCAGAAAAAAAAGGAGAGAAATTACGTACACACAGACACATACGTGCATATAGGGAGGGGAAAAAAGGTTGGTACATGTACGAGACAGGGAACACGCGACACACATGTTACAATAATACAACAGCAGCAGCAGCAGCAGCAGCAGCAGCAGAGCTGACTAAGAATAGGCGAGATATCCATCTAAACGGCTGCAAATGGACGACGACGACAACGATGGAAAGTAAAATGATGTTTGTTCACACTTTTCTACGATTACGTTATATACATTGCGTATACAGTCATTCGCGCTCTCTTGCAGGCATGGCTTCAATTGCAGCTGCCGGTAGGTATATATATACAGCGTCCGTCGATGTATCATATACAGTGTGTACAAAGTGTGGTAGTAGTCGGAATAAACATTATTACACCGAAGATGACCATTAAAAAGCTCCGCGGCATAAGATAACCGCGCGGCTGTACGTTTTTTTTACCCCTCGAATACTATAATTTAAAAGGACTTTTATACCTCGAGACGCGGTATCGGAAAAATGACTATAACTTGTAAGACAAAGTTACGTCCAGCGACTAAATATGGAAAAGTCGGCATTTCTTACGTGTATATCGGCGAGTATACAGCACATGTACTCATGACACGTTTAATTCTCTCTCTCTCGCTCGCTCTTGCTCCTGCTCCGTTCTCGACCTTCGGGGGGCTCTTAGAATCCTGCGCGAGATTTACGCACGCACGAGCAGAGCCTATATACGGCTACAAGAACATATTCCGCGCGTTGTACAGCGTTGCTATGGAGCAGCAGCAGAGCTACATCGCTCGCGCATCACATCACGGGCATGCCATAACTCTTTGCGCGCGAGCGGGCCCTGTGCTCTGCCGTTGTTGTTGTTGCAAGTACGTATATAAGAGAGAAAAATTGATGCGAGGGAGAGAGAGAGAAAAACTTGGCTGAGCGTACCGTGTAATAACCCGTCATTATTGTGGATTTCAGCCCGGCTCTCGCTCGCGTATAGAGCCGACAATGCCTCGCGCGCGCGCGCATACTACTCGACTTATGTATAGGAGTACTGTATAGTACTCGTGAAAAGAAAAGAGCAAAAGAGGGAGAGAGAGTAAGAGTAAGAGTTTCGACGACTCCGAAGGGTCCGTCGTGGTGCTGGTGATTTGAAAGAAGGAGAAATTATTATATATAGTACATGAATGATCGCAGCTCGTGCAGCTATACACATTTCACTGTGATGTCGATGATGATGCCAACCGATGAGTGTACCATAGATTATAAAATATTATACAAAGGCAACCCCCGATCGAACGAGTGACGATGATGATGATGATTCGGAGTTCGTGTCGGACGTGTGACGAAATCGAATCGATGTTGTACACACCTTAAAGGTCGATGTACCTGCTCGCCGAGGTGCCGTTTCGAAATGTACGGTCCATTGACGTTTCAATTAGACAGCTTATAACTCACAGAAAACTAACGAAATCTTTTCTTTTTCGCGTGTATCTTTCGACGAAACTTATAGTACACATTATTGTACGTTTAGCAAGAAAGTTGGCCCGCGCGCTTGCGACATATTTGCCTCGCTCTTTGATGTCTGTACGGGATACGACACGAGCTAACTAACCAACAATGATTCCGAAGCTCTCTGTGTGTAAGGAGAGGCCTTGCTAGCAGCACTTTGGAACGAGAGAAAACAAAAAGAGAAAAAAAAAAAATCGATAACGAGAGTAGCTGCTGCTGCTGTTACTGGCACATAGATGCAGGGGGTGGCTGGCTGGCTATATGCGATGTAACGAAAATCAACTAGGCATATAATGCATGTATGTATGCGCGCACACAGCAGCAGCATAGCAGCAGCAGCACTGGCCCCTGTGCGAAGCTCGTGAGACGACGACTACGAGTCTCTGTTTTTTAAAGAACACACCGCACATGCGACGCAACACCACCGCAACACGATGACAAGCAAACAGCTCGGCTGCTGCTGCTGCTTGATGCACACTATTATAACGCGCGAGTCCGGAGCAGTCTCGACATGCCACTGCATCCGATGTACTTAATTAGTGCGAGGCACGACTACTTGCGGGTGAAAAAAAAAGTTTCGTTTCGTGTGTCGCTCTCATCGTCATCCAAACTTCGTACCGTGTTTTTCACTCCCTCGTCGTCGAGGTCGGTTGCATTTTTGTAATGCATTGAAAAAAAACCGCGGGGTGGTATACATCTAATGCAGAAACAACGTGGATCCAAAAATTGGTTTTAAAAGAATAAAATTTTCCTCAAGGTCTTCTCGGAGAAGAACGCGGACATCCGAAGGGAGAGCAGCAGCAGCAACAGTAATGATAAGAGAAGAAAGAACGAACCAACGAGCGAAATAGCTGCTGCTACTGCTGCGTGGCTCATGGTCGAGAGAAAGAAAGAGAAGATGGAGCAAACAACACGAAAAAAAGGAGACGTAAAAACACAAGGAGAAGAAGAAGAAACAAGAGTAGAGGAAGACGAAAAAAAAGGAAGTACCGTTATTATACGCGTACAAAAGGCACATACACACACACACATATATACGCGCGCGAAACGCGCGGTTTTTTCTTTTTTTCTAAATACTATATAGCAAGCTAGCTAGCTCGCCGTGGTACGGTGCACACGACGAAGACGACGTCTTCGTTCGCTAAAAACTACACATTATACATTGACAATGGAGCAGGTTTTTTTTTCGAAATTTCCGCTCGCGCGAGGTATATACGAGACTCGGACGAAGGATGGCCATATCTCTGAGAGAAAGAGGTTTTAAAATTAAGGATCCAAAATTTTATCGCTCGAGAACTCTTTTATTCGCGCACAAAAGTCAAATGCACGTCACGATATAAATACGGATGACCGACTGCGCTATCGATGTTACACATCGTGTTTTGCGGACAGATAACATCGCGAAATTGACATATTATGGAGAGTCGATCGAGCGTGTAAAATCCAGGAAGCGGATTACTCTCTGGCTCTCTGGGCGGACAACACATTGTTGTATATAGATATAGTATATGGTAAAGCACTTGATTTCGGAATTAAAATTCTACACCTTGTTGTACTCGGTATATATATACTCTACGCGGCATCGTCGGCGGCAGGATAAGCTCGAGAGCTGTTTGTTTAGCGTATATATAGTAGTTTCCTATGTAATATGGTACATATATTAGAGCCGGTGCCGTATAATATAGCAGATGTGTGTTAATGTGCGTTGGTATTGGACTTTGGATGGATACGTTATATAGCCGGCTGGAGACCGTGCCGTATATTATACATATAAAACGAGAGTCCACACACGTATAATATGTATATTATAATCGGAGTCCCGAGGAGCATAGCACAAGCCAGTAGCAGCAGCGCGTAAAAGGCGAAAGCGAGCCGCGCACGCACGGAGCAGCAACACATTTTTACAAGACATTTATATGTATAGTATGAGTCTTCCTTCGCGCCTTCCTAGAAAAAAAAGAGTCGAAAAAAGAAAGGAATTTTCTCAAACGGAAACGTACGATTTACCCGTTTTGCCGTCTTTATGCGTGTGTAGTCTCGAACACGAGGACGCGAGGAGTCGCGCGCACTTAACCTGACCGGGGTTGCATTTAAAAAGTTTATATTTTTTATTATATATAGGGATGGTCGACTGTCGAGCAGGCGAGAGTAAAGTATATGAAGTAAAGAAGATCTGCGCGCCAAACGCGCGTAAAAACGGACGCGGCCGAGTGATTTTCCCCCGATGAGCGAGCGAGCGAGAGAGAGAAGTAAAGAAGAAGAAGAAGAAGAAGGAAGAGAGAACGAGAGAGAGAGAGAAGACCGAACAATGCACACAACACACCCGGGCTGAAAATGTATCACTGATCACGGGTGCGTGAGTGCGAATTGTCGAGTGTATTATACGTAAATAAAATAAAAAATCTTGAAAAATCCATAATAGCGGGTAGAGGCGATTTTATCATCATATATACACGAGAGCGTCCGGAGGCGCGCAGGTATAGCAGGTAGTAGTAGTGCTGCACACACACACACACGCACACGTACTACACGTCGGTCCGAGATGCGTAAAAAAGTACGTTAGGCGAGTCGTCGTCGTCGTCGTCCCCCGCGAAAGGACAGCAGCATCCGAATTGCCGTCGATGATGAAATATACAAATACAAAAGTAATCGAAGAGCTTTTTTGGAGTCGCACTCGATGTTCATATGCACTCTACTCACTCGATCTCGAGTCTCTCTATGCCTGCGCGCGTCCTTTATACTTATATGTATAGTACTACTACCTATTCTATACAGAGAGTAGTAGTAGTAGTAGTCCTGCTGCGATGTGTATAATGCTGCGCGACCAAAGCGGCGCGTTTTCGCAAAACTAGCGTAGTTTCTCCCTTTTTTTTTATTATTATTATTACAAAACGATATTATGCACGGCACTCACTTGTTTAAAATCACTGTTATAAGAGAAGTAGTAGTAGTAGACGGGAGCCGCGCGTTTATAACACGTATATATCCTTTTCTCTTCGCTTCGGTTACTATATATTGTATGCGTGTGTGTGTACGTATATAATACACGGACCGTACTGGCCGGTAGACTCCTCTTGACTGCTTTGGGTTTCTCTCTTATAGGTCCGAGAGAGAGCCACTAACTACTACTACTACTACTGCTATACTACACTACCACCGTGTGTGCTCTCTTTCTCTTTCTTTCTCGCTCTTTCTCTCTGTATACCGTGTGCAGCACTGAATACTTTTATATGTGTGTGTGTGTGTGTGTAGGTATATATATACGCGGATGTCTGCAACTATGCACATCTACTCCGATCTCTCTCTCTCTCTGTTTCTCTCTCTTAAACCGTATATAGGTACAATTACGAAGAACACAAACGACGCAGGCACAAACTAACTCGCGTGTCTCGCTTCTATATACCTATAAGTATTGTAAGTATGAACGCTGTGTTGTGTATAGCCGAGTCGCCGTCGCGTCCTTGCACCGGGGGGGTGTGCGTGCGATGCGCAGTTGTAATGGTATATACCGGGCAACCAGTATAGAAAACTTGAAAAATTGCAAACAGTAATCACCTCTCGTAGAATCGTAGTTGACAAAAAAAAACAACACTCACCTCACGAATTACTTTTTTATTTTGTTATTAAATGCACGCCGAGGAATATTTAAATTCAAAACGCACGAGCACTGAGGAGGGAACGAATATCTTTCCGTCGAACTGTTAAACCACGATTAAAACTGCGCGTTCGGAAACACTTTGTGTATGTGTGTACGATATTGTACGAGCGAAAGCCCAAGCGCAACTGTCTCCTGCGCTCCGGTATAAAGTAAGAACTTCGGCGCGGCGGCGGTCCTGTCCTGTGGTGGCGCGCGACGCGACGACGAGACGACGCAGCTCTCTCTCGAGAGTCGGTATTTTTCTAGATATAATACACAAAATGTACACTATGTATAGTATGTATATAGGAGAGTATACGCCGCAGCCGTTGTGCTGTATAAAATACGCCGGCAGGCCCCTGTGTTGCGGCCCGGTGGCGCTCGTCGCGGCGACTTTGAGAATTTCGTCGTTATTACAACTGGTGGAAATGGTTGGCAAGAGACCGGGATGAAAGGGGGGGAGTGTGGTATAGTGCGTGTATTCGGGTATTCCATGGGAACAACCAACCGTCGAGTTTTTCGACCCGACGAGCCGCGACGAGACGGCCTTCTAGAGACATCTTACGGTTTTGGCGTGAATGTTGTTTGTCGAGAGGATGAATCTTACTTGCCCTCTGCGCGGTGGATAAATCGGAGTTTGTTTTTGTAACGTGATTCGCGCTCGAACTTTTAACTGTCGAACGAGGCACGATGTTCATATTTTGCAGGGAACGATGGTAAAATGTTGACCCGGACTCATCTCTGCGAAGGAGCGATGGAAATGGAGTTTCGTAAGTACTAATGTGTTTATTGCAAGTCACCAGATTACAAATTACATTCGATTGAAATTCGATTGAATTAAAACGATAATCCCAATTTTACAACCGTCGCTATAAAAAGCATCAGAAAACTCGATTGTTCGGTAAAAAAGATGCCACTCTCGGAAGACGTTAAAAGTTTTTTCACGAAAAATCTACTCACGATTTTGAATCGTTCGAATTAGATACACATACTTTTTTATCAACGTTAGTCGTAAATTTCGAATCGGTAACTTTCTATTATATTTCGAATGCAGATCAATCATATGTGTTTTCATATATCTGTTACTCGATGTAATCGAAATTTTGAATGATTCGGCTATTGAATTTCTCTCGATGCTCTGTGGTAAGATTAGACGATCATTGTTTACCTTCGAAAAATTTGGATTCTCGATCGTAATAAAACACACAAATATTAAAAGGCTCGTAAAAATTTACGCCAAAACATATATTTTGATGCACTGAGGCCACTCTCTCATAATACAGTGACTAGACGCGATTCTCGAATGATAGAATTTAAGTATTCTCGGTAACTCTCCTTCTCTCTCGGAAGGGGAAATAAAAAACTTATCGGAAAATTAATAAACGTGAACAATTTTGAGAAGAAATAGGCCAGACCAAGTGTGCATTACATGGATCATATTTTTGGAAAAAACTATGTTTTATCACATCACAACTTTGCCACGCGATCATTGCATTTCCTCGTAAATTGATCCAAATGCGATGATCGTTAAACAACTCGCTCGCGTCAATTGTCCGCTGCTGCACTTCGCCAAACCATTCGCCCGCGAAATAAACTCGGCTCGGCGCGCGCGAACCGCCGCGCGCCCAGTGTTTACACCTCCTACTAGCGCCAAAAGCGCCGTAGCATTTACGCAGTACTATTTAGCGTACATATATATATATATATATTGCACACACACAAACATACACATAAGCGTCGTCGAGTGTGTATACGCCGTCGCGGCGTAATGTATACGTACTGTTACACATATACGTCTACATTGGGCTTTATGCGGCGAAGCGAAACAACTAAGGGAACAGACGACGATGAAGACTCACGGCCACGGTTGCTGCGCCGCCAAAGACTTATCGGACGATACTTGATTACGGTCGTGCGCGAGAGAGATTCGGAGATTGTGTTTTTAGCTCTGAGCTTACGTGCGAGACGAATTCGCGACCACGAGTAGTGTGATATGTAGCTTACGTGTGTAGTGTTGTTCTAGAAGAAGAAGAAGAGTGGCGATTCGTGCTCCGAAACTTTTGTAGACGATATCATGCGGATTCTTGTCGAAGCCGTCGTCCTCGCCTGCACCGGCTGAGCAAAAAGCTCGTGTGTGGGCATCGACGAGGATCGTTCGCGCTTTGTCCTCGCGACACGGAGTCGAAAGGTATCAAAAGAGACAGAGAGAGAGACAGTCTTGTATTACTTTGGAGAGCCGAATAAAACAACAAGGACTTTGTCGAGTGCACAATCATCGTCGTCATGGGCCAAGGTACCACGACGACCGATACCTGCAACGACAGGCCGACCGAGGTCAGTGTCATCAGATTCGTCTCGCGCAATCACACCATCGAGGAGATCGCTCCGAAGAAGGTAAGTTGTTTTTTGTCGTTGTTTTTCATCTGTCAAAGCGATTCAACCGTTTTTCATGCAATTTCGTTGTTTTGTGACAGACCAACGTATATCGTATATATATTTCCTTTCCTCGTTTCCCGTGCGTGTGTATTGCGCGCGCGCGTGTGTGTGTGTGTATGTACACTACCTCCTTTCTAAAACCTGAACTCTGACAACCTCGTCGAGAGCTATATAACACAAGCCGCCGCTGTTCCGTCATTGGTCCTCGGTACCTATATATGTATATATAGGATATGTACCGAGCTTTTGTCTCTCTCGCGTGTGCGTACAACGCTGCTGCGTAAATATAGGAAATAACCACGTATTCCGTGTTCGCGCATACATTATGGTCGGATGCATTTTTATACGAAAACTTAACTCCGGGTTAATGACGACGACGCATAGGTTAGCCGATGCTTATTATGTGCAGACGCACTGGCTATTTTATAGAGAGAGAAAAGAGAGCGAGATGCACCGAGATGGAGCGAGAGAGAGAGAGAGAGAGAGAGAAAAAAAGAGATAGACGTAGCGCGCGCGCATACACATGCATGTACGCATATACACGCACGCACACACACTAAACACACAACGACAAGTTCAATGACCCTCCAGCCAAAACAAACTGACCTAGGCCTTTGTGGCGTTATATTCGCGCAACTCCGTTTTCTTTTTTTTTCTCTCTCTCTCTCTCTCTCTTTTATTATTAATCGCGATATAACGCCACTTGTTTCTTTCCCCGATCGGACGGTAGTGGTACGCACGCACATCCGTTGCGGATTTCAGATTTCAACAACACACACTGTGCTCGCGATGCTTTATTAATGTTTTTTCCCTCTCTCTTCGATCGCTTTGAATCGCTACTCTCTGTTCTTTTAAAGTTTCATCTTACTGATTGCTTTTGTTTATCTTCTTTTATGTCGTAGGAGGTGTATGTTTGTAAACAGCGAGGATGCGGCAAAATGTTCATCGATCCGGAGGCGCATAAATCACACGAGGCTTTGGAGACGCTGAAAATTCGATTTTTGTACGTAATGATTTATCGAACAATTTTTGCAACTCGATTTTATGCTTAAATAAACGTTAAATTTCTTGCAGTTGCAAAGAACCAGGCTGCGGTGCAGAATTACCAGATCCAGGTGAGATGTGGGCTCACTATCAAGAGTGGCACAAAGATGACTCTAATTCTCCGTTCACTAGGAATACCACGGAACAGGCTAACAATTGTCAGGAGGATAAAAAACACATTGATTCGTTTCATGAAAAACCTTCGAATAGCTTAGCAAAGTCAGAAATCATTTATTTCGAACTGTCTGATGGTATCAAAAAAGAAAATTTTACTAAGATCAATAACGGAGATACATTTTTCAATAGTGTTCAAAGTACTATTGATGAAACTGTGGAGAAAGCAATGGTTAAACAAAACGAATACGTTTCCAATCACGTAACTACTGCAATAAAGCCAAATGAATACGCAATTATTAAAGGAAATAAAATATCCAGTATACAAAATATTTCTCAAGAGGATAATAAATATTTGAGCTGTAAAGATAAATTCAGCAAAGTTCATCCTGAGTTTCCTAAACACAAGGAAATAGTGATAACAAAGAATAACTTTTTAGTTAAATTCGAACCTATCTCTTCATTAGGCAGTGATCTTAATTTAATAAAAGACTCTAAAACTGATTGCAATTCAGTTATTGTAAATAACGACGTTCCTTTAAAGAAAGAATCTAATCATGCACATAAAATAGATTTTGAAAATTTAGAGGATGCCTTTAAAAGAGGATTAGAAGATGATAATATAAAATTAATTCAGAGTACCAGAAAAAACGAAAATTCTGACAATGAAGAATATACTCCTAAAAAGCAACGCATGTCTAGGTCGAAACAAGAACCTTTGAAGACTGAAGCTGATGGTTGTGAAAATGCATACAAATACGTACCGCATTTCAAAAAGCAATCAAATAAGGAAACTCATAAAATCTTGGCTGATATTCATGAAAATCCTAAAAAATTACCACCAGAAAAGTTACATGATACACTGAGTATGTCATATGTGCTATAAATTAATTTCCATATAAAGCTTATGAAAATAATACAATGAAATGTGTAATATTGCTTGCAATTTAACTAGTTAAATTTAAAAAAGGCATTTAAGAATAATAATAAGATAAACGCATGAAAAAATCATTGCAATCATCAAGAAACTACTTAATTTCAAGAAACAGATACTAGTTTTAATTTTGTCATTGAGCAACAAATTATCATTAAGACTGACTTGGAATATAAGCATCACCTTTTCTTAAAAAATATATTGTTAATGTAAATTCACTCTTAGTACTAAATTTATTAATTAGTAGGCAAAAAAGTTATTTATTTTAAAAATTTTAATTCGTCAAGCATGTGGATGCAAGTATTAAACTGAGGTTTTCCTCATACCCAAAAGGTAACTTTTGACAGAGTTTGCCAAAAAGTCTGAATATTGAAAAATGTAATATTCATTTTAATATTGATTTTAATTTAGTTTTAAGTGTTTCTCACTTATTGATGTAAAGTGTAAAAAGTTTTTAAAAATATTAGTATGTATGCATTTTTTACATAAATTTATATTATATTTTTTTCTAGTTTCAATCTGATTTTCTGAGTATTCAGTCTGTCAGACAGTAACTTGTAGTTATAAAATGTGGGGTTCAGAAGTTAGAATAGAACAATTAATAGGTTCATGAAACAATTGTGAATCATTTGTTATATTTATTATATTTATTACCTTTGGAATAAAGATGTCAATCAAAATCATAGAAAACGAATTTGATAGTGAAATGTAGCATATCTAAGAAATGTAAGTTAATTCCAAACATAGTGTAAGAATGAGAAAATTCATAAAACTTGGAAAACTAAAATTTTTTTCACTAATTTTGATAAACTTTTTAACGTTGTAGATTTCTTGTTTATAAATTATAACATCTTATGTGATTTCTACTGATTTATATCCATGGCATTCAATTATTATTAAACTAATTATTGTAATCGTCATTAACCAGTGCTGTAATCATTTTTTTTTTTTTTAATATCTCTTTGTAATAGATAGTTACATTTGTAACATTTTTCCTCTCAAAGAACCTAAACGTAGCTGAAAAATTAAAATTGTTAGGTTTGAGGAATGAATTTTTGATAAAATTACTCGAATGGATTGATAACAACAAAAAAACAATTTGCAAATTTTATAATCATTTGTACGATTAGTCGAGTGTTTTGTAATATTGAGCATGAACGTGTGATACTATAACGAGTAGCATAGTGCATTTTTTTGTTAAAAGTGATACTCATATATAGCTCATTTTTACGCAATTTTATAAGTTCAATTTTCATCGGACGTGTACGTGTAAAAACAAAAGAATCACAATTCACCATTTGTATAAAAATATCGTTGCATATTCGAAACGGAAAAAGGAAAATGTTTTGCTATACAGAATCAATTGTGACGTATATTTTTTAATACCAAAACGAGGTCAGGTTTCATCGGCACCATTAGCATTATATATTGTAATATATTTACAAACAAAAGGTACATCAATTTGATATGAGATTCGTGATTTTTTTACATCATTCAAATGATTGTGTTGAAGTATTATTAATCGCATAAGGTACTTACATCGTAATGTTTTTTTTACGTACAAAACATTGGTATCAAAAATACATTGTGTTATAAAAAAAAATTGTACTTTTCTGTAAGAAAATAAAAACGCAATATATAAGTAAAACTTGAAAACCCCTCTGAGTTACGAGTTAAATTTTATTTCCTCGTTTCACGGAAATAATTTTCTCCACACCGAGCCTTATACGTCGCGCGAGTCAAGCTCCGAAGACCGAAATTGATTTGACCTAATATCGCGCGCGCGCGAGAATCACCACGTATATATAAGTCAAACAATGAGTTCATGCGCTGCTGTACAAAACAAACACATTATAATAACCCCTCTCTACTCTACCCTACCATTCACACACACGGGTATCGAATTTCAGCCAATTTTTAGCCGAAAATTGAAAATTACGGAAGCGCTACGGAAAAAGAAGGTCAAAGCGCGAGAAAAAGCGAACGCGATCTCGCGCGATGATAAAAGCTCTCGCGCGAATGAGCGAAGAAGACGAAGACGAAGAAGAAGAAGCGCCTCGAGCCAAATAAGGTATTTTACCGCGTGCGACTCACGGATTATCGCTCGGTTTTTCCGACTCGAGCGCCTCCCCCGAGCGACAGCGGAGCAGCAGCGCGCGCGGCGCGTTCCCCCCGCCGAAATGTATACTTATGCAAGCTCGGAGAGGCAGTAGTAGCTTCTTCTTCGCTCGGAGCGATCCCGAAGAGAGAGAGAAAGAGCTTTTATCTACTTACTATATAGTAGAGATGATGTGGTTAGCTTGCTCCCCAAAATTTCCACCTGATCCTCAACAATTTTTCCAAAAATGTGAATTTCACGTGATTTTTGCATGGTTTTCACCTTTTTTATTTTATTATTTTACTGCTCCTCCACGGTAAATTCACTAGTATACGTGATAGGTACTTTTATACATAGGTACTTTTATAATAAACAACAAAAAATTTCATCGAAATTTTGTCGATTTTCAAATGCTTCTATCTTGGGCTATATTTATCGTATCGACACGATTTTTTTAATTTATTGGAAATCTTGTCCTCTTCAAATCTATATACAGGGTGCCGCAAAAGTATAGAAACCTCCTAAAAGCGGGCTAATTATGCGGAGAAAAAAAATCAAAAACCTCATATCCGACGTATTTTTTGGTGGGGAATCCAATGAAGACCTTGGATTTTACCTTGAACATAACTTCAAAGCTACAGGGACCCAATTTTTCCTATGAAAACCCCCATTTTTTATTTCAGAATTGAAAAAACAGAAAAATTTTACGTTAAAATATGTATTTCGTTTTTTCTTCAAGGTAATTTTCGGGGCACTACAGTTAAAATATGAAGTGTTTACTTGAGCTTAATTTTAGGTTAACTCGGATTTTTATTTGAGCCTGTAGAGCCCTTAAAATAACCTTGAAAAAAAAATTCATGTTTCAACGTAAAATGTTCCGCTCTTATCAAATTTACAATAAAAAAATAGGAGTTTTCATTTGAAAAATCGATTTTTGGGTCGCCGTAGCTTTGAGGTTCTGTTCAAGATCAAATCCAAGGTCACCATTGGATTTCCCATAAAAAAATAAGTTGGATAGGAGGTTTTTGATTTTTTTCTCTGCATATTTAGCCCGTTTTTAGGAGGTTTCCATACTTTTGTGACACCCTGTATACTATGAAGAAGTTCGAGTCAATATCGAGTAGTGTTTGAGCGCAACACTAAAAATTGTTGAAAAAAAAATTGATTGTTTGAACGTGTCCATGAATTACAGTAATAAGTTGATCAAAATCTATAATATACACCATCGCAAAGTACTCTTTTCAACGAGTAATTTAAAACAAATAGAGCTCTCTACGATAATTTTTGCGTCCTGTAGGTTTCCAAAATTCATTCTACATCTCCGACAGTCTCGAAGAAAAAGGCACTTGACGCGTACAAGAGCCGCGAGATTGTTAATAGATCAAAACCGGGCATTTCTATTTAATATATTAAATTCATTGTTTATGCTCATTTAAGTAACAAGGAAAATATTCAACATTAAATAAAAAAGAATACTTCTTTAGAGGTTCTTTACTGAATGATTTATGCGATTGGAAGCAAAAGAGTAAATACAACAAAAACTTGGTTAATCAATGACATTTTTATTAGATTCGCAACAAAGCTTTTGTTATCTTTATTACATCTTATACCATGTGCATGATTTTCGCCGTCCTCGATCACAAATTTGCCGCCAAGCAGATATTGTACAGATCTACGTTCCTCAGATTCTCCAAGATCATATCGCAGCAGAGAATCGGCAGCCTGTTATGAATCAACCGCATAAAAGGTTCCAATGCCCAAGACTCGAAAAATCCTCTCGACAACTTCTCGGCCAGGTACACGGAGCAAGTCTCGAGAGTCTGGATAGCCACGGTGGTCGTGTATCCCGAAGACGGTATTTTTATGCGGGTAGCGGGAGTCAGCATTGGTACCGAGACAGCCAAATCGAAGTAGTCCTTGTACGCGAGTAGTTTTGCCGCCTCCTTGGGACTCGAGCGGGTCAGGTCGTACAGCGACAGGCTCGGATCGTCATCGTCTCTCGCCGCGATCTTCTTCGCCTCCTCGGCCCATTTCTCGTCGCTGTGCCAAGATCTTTCGTTATCCTCCGACGCGACGTCGAACAATCCGTAATCGTGGAAAAATCTCATGATGGTCATGGCGTCGTCTCGGCTCAGTTCGTATCTGGCGTTCTCCAGGCGCTCGACGATGGCCAGAACGCCGCCGGCTCGGTACAGAGCTGGGAGGTCGAAACCCATGGGACCCAAGGAATCATTCGGGCCGGGATAAAACTCGGTCGGGAAAACGAAGCCGGACACGTCGGCGCCGCGATTCAGAAGAGCGTCCACGGAGTCCGGCAGAATACTCGCCACGGCGTATCGCAACGGTGTCCAGCCTCGATTGTCCAGCGCGTCGACCTGTACCGGCCGATTCAGCTCGTCGCAGAGCTCGAAAAATCGCCGCGCCCAGTCGTCCTTGGTGAATTTTTCCGATCTGCACAGGCAGTGTAGAGGCGTCAGTCCTTCTTTGTTGGTCAAATTTTGATCGGCGCCGGCTCTCAGCAGCGCTCGGACCTTCCGCTCGCTGAAGTAGCCGATCTGGATGGTCAGATGCAGCGGCGCGTCTCCCGTCGTCGGCAACGCCTCATTGGGATCCTGGCCGAGGTCGAGGTATTCCTGGACACGGTCGGGAGCGAACGACCACCTGCAGGCCACGTGAAAGTGACTCCAGCCGTGCTCGTCGACGTAATTGCTACTGGCTGGGTACATGCGAAAGATGGAAAAATTGAGCAGCAGTGTCAGACCGTGTCTGGCAGCGAAATGTACCGGTGTGATCCCGTTCAGCAGTGGCCTGTCCGTGGCCTCGTTCAAGTCCGGCTCGTCTCTGTAGCCTCCGTCCGACAGGATTCGGACGAAATTGGCCGATCGTTTATTCTTACGTAGATCCTCCACGAGCAGCCAATTGATCTCGCGGGCTCGGAAAATTTCTCGCAGATTCGGAAGTCGATGTCGTCGTATCCAATCGCCCATCAACTGATAAAGTTGATCGAGCAGTTGGCTGCGCTGCTCTTCGATTTCCCAATTGACCCTCTCTCTTAAGCTCCTCAACTTTGCCATGTTGATTATGTCGAACTCTTCGTCGGTTACGTAAAAACACAGATCACGATGATGGTTTGGTGCACTCATGGTTCGGATGCGCTATCACTTTTAATATATAAATGAAAATAATAATTTTCCACTTTGATCGCGAGATTCACTTTGCTACTGCGATCTTCGCAGCTGAGTTTTGTACGCTGCAGCGTCGTCATGTACACTGCAGTAAAAGAAAAAACACATGGCCGAGTCTACAGAATTTCAAGCGAGAGCGAGCGAGACAGAGTTTTAAAGATGGCGCGACATACACACGCACACACGTTGAATTCTAGATAATCAATTGATCACCGGAAGTGAAAGTTCAGAGTCTTTCTTACCCGCTTGAACTTTTTTTAATGTCTTCTACAATACACCGCTGGCCGCGGTGTTAAAGTTTTCATACAACGACATCAATGGCGATGGTGGAATATCTTTTGCTGCACGGTGCGAATCCAAATACGACCGACGATCAGGGCAACACGGCTCTTCGCGCAGTCCGTAAAAGAGCCTTAAACAAAA